TCTCAGGTAGACCCCCCTGCGCCTGCGCCTGTTGAGGTCACTGGTGACTCCGGTCCTGCTGCGAGTGGTGCTGTCCCGGGGGGTGCGGAGCTTGGGGGTGCTTGTCAGAATATTATGCTCTAGCCTGTAGTGGGGTGCTCTATAGCGAGTACAACCCTTCTAGGGTTTGCTATTTGTATCCTCATTCTTGCTAGTGCAACCCTCCTTCTTCTTTTTAAACTTTCACATGCTATCAGAGCAGGTCGATCCCCTTGGATCGATCCTGTGGGTGGGCTCACCACCTCGTTGCTTCCGCTGCAACTTCCACTACTACCTTCTGTGCCGCACGCCCCGTGGCGTGCGGCAGTTTTTCTTCCCGCCGTGCGCCCCGAGGCGCGCGGCGGTTTTCTGCCCGCCGTGCGCCCCGTGGCGCGCGGCGGTTCTCTGCCCGCTGTGCGCCCCGAGGCGCGCGGCGGGCTTCTACCCCGTCACTCGCCGCGTCGCCCTCGGGAGGCGCTGCGACGGGCGACGGGGACCCGCGCGTCGCCCCCCGTCGCCCGTCGTGGCCTGCGCGCGGCCCGTACAGCCGGCGCGCGGCCCGTACGGGCTGCGCCAGGCCTGCGCGCGGCCCGTACGGGCTGCGCCAGACCCGCGCGCGGCCCGTACGGGCTGCGCCAGACCCGCGCGCGGCCCGTACGGGCTGCGCCAGGCCCGCGCGCGGCCCGTACGGGCTGCGCCAGGCCCGCGCGCGGCTCGGGCCGCCTGCGCGCGGTTCGGGAGGCTGTGCCAGGCCCGTGGGCGGCCCTTTCCTCGCTGCCCCTGCCCTCCCCGCTGTCCCCCGTGCTTCTGCTGGCGCCCCACCCCTCCTACAGCCCGTTCTCCTGAATTAGGGTTTGGGGGTGAGGGGTATGGGGGTGAAACTACTGTGTGCCGTTCCCTGCTCCTCCTCCTCCTCCGTCTCCCTGTGCTGCAGCTGCCGCTGAGGGGGGGGTGGACTTGTTGGAGCCGTTGGAGTGGTGCTAAGGGGGGGTGAAGGGGGAGTGGAGCTAGCGGTGTAGCAGCGGGTGTGTGTCAGGAGGGGTGGTACTGTTTGGGGGAGGTCGAGTGGAGGCAGCAGTCTTGTCGTCAGCAGCAGCAGCAGTCCGGAGGCTACAATCTCCGGTAGTCGCCAGTCGCCCGTGGGTCCGTTGCTCGTCTGCCGCTACTTTTAGCCGCGGGGCCAGTTACCCCAGTAGTCCGGAGCGTTGTTCCGGTAGCCACTGAGCCAGCAGCTCGTCTGTGTGTCTGCAGCGTCAGCAGTCGCCTCCCATCTTCTCTCCCCCACAGTCTCTCCTCCTCCTCACTTGCCCTCTGCGATAGCCTCTAGCTTTGCTCATAATTGTGAACTTTAAACTATTGCTTCTTGAACCTGTGCTCAGAATGTGTGGTGACATTGTGATCCACCCTGAGCTTGTACTGCTGTGCTTGCTCTGCTGATTACACCCCACTTTGGCTATGGGGGTGTGTCAGAATATTATGCTCTAGCCTGTAGTGGGGTGCTCTATAGCGAGTACAACCCTTCTAGGGTTTGCTATTTGTATCCTCATTCTTGCTAGTGCAACCCCCCTTCTTCTTAATTCCTCTTAAACTTTCACAGTGCTGAGTCTGGGGGCGCTGAGCGTGTGGAGCCTGGAGGTGCTGCGTCTCGGGGTACTGCGTCTTGGGATGCTGAGCCTGTGTGTGCGGAGCCTGGGAGTGCTGAGTCTGGGGGTGAGTTGCCTGAGAGTTCTGAGACTGCTGTTACGCGGTCTCCTTGGAGTAGCCGTCTTCGTCCGCGTGTGCCCCTCACCTCCCAGCAGCTGCACGACTGGTACGGTCGCCGTCGGCGTCCCACTTCTGCACCTCAGGGCTCTCCTGCTGGAGGTTCTTCTGCTGGTGTCGCTGGTCCCGGAGGTGCTCGTACTGGGAGTACTGGAGCTGCTGGGGCTGGTGGTGGTGCTGCTGGAGGTACTGGAGGTGCTGGAGGTGCTGGAGCTGCTGGAGGTGCTGGAGCTGCTGGAGGTGCTGGAGCCGCTAGGGGTGCTGGAGCTGCTGGAGGTGCTGGAGCTGCTGGGGGTGCTGGAGCTGCTGGAGGTGCTGGAGCTGCTGGTGGCACTGCTCAGCCGCGCCTGTTCTTTGCTCCGCCGTCTCCGTCGTCTCAGCCACCACCTGACTATGCACTTCGCCAGGTTCTCAGTCTTCCCTCGTCTACTGGTCTTCCGTTACAGCCTGGCTCACCGCTGCCTGCTCCTTCTCCGTACACAGAGCAGCCTGGTGGCCTTGCAGAGCGTTGTGAGCCTGTGTCGCGTCTTGTCTCCCCTGTCAGTTCCGGTCGTCGTGTTCCTCGTCAGTGCCAGCCGGCTGTCTCCGGCCCTCCCCTTGTAGTTCGTCGTCCTTCCTCTCCTTCACCGCGTGTTCCTCTGCCGCCTCCCCCTGCGTCCTCTCTGCCTGTCGTTGCTGACCCTGCGTGTGACCGGTTTCGTGCTGAGCACTCTACTGTCACGCGTCTGCTTGCCACTGTTGTCACTGACCCTTCGTTTGAGTCTGCTGCTGCGTCTGCCTTAGTCACTGAGCTTGTTGCCTTTGCTGCTCACTGTCGTCTAGACTACGCCGCCGGTCTTGTTGCTGAGTCTGCGTCTGTCTGTCCTCCGTCCGTCGGGGGTGAGTGTGCTCTTGGCACGGACGTCCTTGAGGACAGGCAGGAGGACCTTGAGTGTCTTGCAGCCGCTGCGCCTCATCTCGTATCCATGTTGCTTGCCCCTGAGGGAGACCCGGATGCACCAGACATCCCTACCCCGCGCTCTTACGCTGAGGCGATCGCGGGTGAGTACTCCTCTCAGTGGCAGACAGCCATGGACGCAAAGATGGCATCATGGAAGTCCACAGGCACCTACGTCGACGAGGTTCCCCCTCCTGGGGCGAACATTGTCAGTGGCATGTGGATTTTCAGGGTGAAGCGGCCGCGAGGTTCTCCGCCTGTCTTCAAGGCTCGTTACGTGGCTCGAGGCTTCAGTCAGCGAGAGGGAGTTGACTTCTTCCAGACCTTCTCCCCCACCCCGAAGATGACCACTCTTCGGGTGCTGCTGCACGTTGCCGCTCAGCGTGACTACGAGCTTCACTCTCTTGACTTCAGCACAACCTTCTTACAGGGCAGCCTGCACGAGGAGATTTGGCTGCGCCGCCCTCCTGGCTTCACTGGGTCGTTCCCTCCTGGTAACCAGTGGAGCCTCCGGCGGCCGGTCTACGGTCTCCGCCAGGCGCCACGTGAGTGGCACGACACACTGAGGACGACACTTGCGGCTCTTGGGTTTGCTCCGTCGACTGCTGACCCGTCGCTGTTTTTGCGCACCGACACTTCGCTGCCGCCGTTCTACGTTCTCGTGTACGTCGACGACTTGGTCTTTGCCACTGCTGACACTGAGGCTCTCGCCCTGGTGAAGTCGGAGCTGCAGAAGAGACACACGTGCACAGACCTGGGTGAACTGCGCAGCTACCTTGGCTTGCAGATCACCCGGGACAGAGCACGCCGCACCATCACACTGACTCAGTCACACATGGTGCAGCAGGTCCTTCAGCGCTTCGGTTTCACCTGGTCCTCAGCACAGGCCACTCCTCTGGCTACAGGTCACTCGCTCTCAGCTCCACCTTCGGACGAGTCCGTAGAGCCGAGTGGTCCTTACCCAGAGTTAGTGGGCTGCCTCATGTACCTGATGACTTGCACTCGTCCTGACCTTGCGTACCCTCTTGGCCTTCTGGCTCGCTACGTGGCTCCTGGTCGGCACCGAAAGGTGCACATGGATGCTGCCAAGAGGGTACTACGCTACTTGTGCAGTACATCGGGCATGGGGCTCGTGCTTGGAGGACGGGGTGACGTTGTCCTCAGTGGTCACTCGGACGCCTCTTGGGTTGACGACCAGGCTACGCAGCGGTCGTCACAGGGTTACACCTTCAGCCTTGGCTCTGGTTCAGTTTCTTGGCGTTCTACACGCTCGTCTTCAGTTCTCGGCTCCAGTTGTGAGGCTGAGATCTACGCCACAGCCATGGCTGCACAAGAGCTTCGCTGACTCACCTACCTGCTGACCGACTTGGGAGAGCGGCCTCGTTCTCCTCCAGTGCTGTACGTCGACAACAAGGCCGCCATTGCCTTGTGTCAGGAGCACAGACTGGAGCACAGAACGAAGCACATCGCTCTCCGTTACTTTCTTGCTCGAGAGCTGCAGCAGCGTGGCCAGCTTCGTCTTACCTACGTGGCCACTCGGGCCAACACTGCTGATATATTCACCAAGGCACTTCCGCCTGGTGATCATCAGCGTTTCTGCACTTTGTTAGGCCTTGTGCCCACTCTTCCTCACTTGCTGTAGGCTTTGTTTGTACCATGATTTATATGTATTCCTGCATGCTTGTTCTTGTAGGTAGATTTCACTGTACTGTTGTTGTTACATATATATCTCTGCATGTGAACTGGCCTTGTGGCCTTCTTGCTTGTGCTCAGACTGCGTGGTGACGTTGTGATCCACCCTGAGCTTGCTTTGCACTTCCTGACTGGTCTTGTGACCCTCTGTTCTCCCCCACTCTGCCTATGGGGGTGTGTCAAACATATGTATATCTATGTTATAGTTTGGGTAGGCTTAGTGGGGTACACACTGTGGGGTACAACCCCTTAGGTTCATTTTCTTTGTACCAACCCTCTCGACAGTCGACATCACTTTTGCCTCCTATTCTAACACCCTGATGGGTCGTCGACCCTAAAAGTGAACCTGAGGCCCTGCTTGCCTGCATGAAGGCCAATGACAGCATTTTTTACATATTATGGTGACTAGTACCATTACCTAATGTGGTACCCTTCTTCACATAGGTAATATGAAGTCCATATGTTCTCCAGTGAGAATAATCAGACTGCGAGAATAATCAGACAGCATTCGAAGTGATAACATGTGTAGGAGGAAGACTGAAACTGAAACGAAATGCATTCCACAGTTTGCCAGCTTCTGAAACTGTAGCAATCACGTCACGTTTTCCAGCTTCCGAACACTGGTGCAGAGAAACCGGGGGAAGAGGAGAGGGGTGTGGGTTGAGAGGGGCGTGGCAGCTGCTGTGAGTGAGAGCGCACGGGCGAGACTGCCAGAGCTGTAGTAGCAGCAAGGCTTGGCGTTGATGTGCAGAGGTTGGGGTGGTAACGGGCACGTTCGTGTGCTTCTGTTCCGAGCATCAGGGGAGAGCAGTGTGGGTGAAGAGGCAAGCGTGGGTGGAGAGGGGCATGGCAGCTGCGGTGAGTGAGTGCGCACGGGCGAGACTGCGAGAGCTGCAGTAGCAGCAACACAGCTCGGTCTGGAGGGGGGAAATGAAGAATGCCAGCCCAGTTGCCTCCTCTCCCACCTGTTGGTTCCTTGCTTTATTCCACGCTCGTTAATTCCACATGCCCATGGTTTCCTGGCCTGGCCACTGTGTCATGTTCGACACAACAGAGCCTACAGCAACTATCGGTAGCATGCATTAGTCATACAGTTTGGTGAGTAAAACACCGTTTGACTCACACTAGTTTATGCGCCTGAAACAGCCTTATATAGGGAGTGAGCACACATGGTAGGCAGGCATACAGCATCGACTGTTACTAACAAGGTTACAAGTTGCTGTAACAGTCGATGCTGTATGCCTGTTAGTAACTTTCCATACCGCATCACAGCCTGATAGTAGATGCTGTCTTGCCATTTGCCTCACGGCTTGAAAGTAGGTGCTTGCCTCTCGCCCCCCCACGTGGCTTCATACAGCAGCCTCGCCCCAAGGTCAGCATACGGGTCCTCCTCTCGCTTCCTCAGCAGGTACTCTATCCCTGCCTCCACCTCGCCCTTCACATGCGCGTACAGCGCCACTGCTGCCTGCTGGTCTGTCAACACCTCCCGCATGCCTGGGGAAACGAGGGTAGAGGGAGAGGAGGGGGTAAAAGTGGGGCAGTGTGAGAGGGTGAGGAGGACAGCAGCTCAATCCTCCTCCTGTCCGTACACACTGCTGCTGCTTGCTGCCTAATCACACCTGCTACCTGACAGCCTGCCCCTTACATCCAAGCTAGGGGCACCAGTGCTGTTGGTTGAACTTGCTCAGCAGCACGCCTTACTCGGCGGCACCAGTTGGATAAGAAAGCATGTTAAGGTGTGTTTTAACAAGTCGCCACATGGATGAAGCCCGTTGGATTTAGGCGAATCACAAGCTTACGGCCAGTGTGGATGGGTGCCCCAAACTTTATGTAGAGGCGGTTGATCTTCTTGGTAGCACTGCTTGTGGCAGGGCATAAGTGGTTGCAGTGTGTTGAGAACGAGAGTGGCAGGATGGCAGAGAGAGGCGTACCGGCAGTGCGGATGGGGGCGCCAAACTTGATGTAGAGGCGGTTGATCTTCTTGGGCAGCACCACTGGCGCCAGGAAGCGCTCTGCTGCTGGCCCTGCTATTTCGTCCTCTCTGGGTGGGTTGAGAGGAGAGGGGTGATGGAGGAAGAGGTGGGAGGAGAGATGGGAGGAGAGATGGGAGGAGAGCAAAACGAGAGGTGGCTCAGATATGTAGGGTAATGAGAGTCACGAGACAGCTGCTTGCACAGAAGCGATCAGGCTTCAGACTCTCCGAAGCGAGTCCCAATCGAAGCGAGCACTGCGCAATCACTGACCTGAATTCAGGCAAGTAGTCGCCTGAACATTCTGCCATGAACTCTTGAAGCACACAGCACATTCCTTCACGCACTGACCTGACTTTGGGCACATAGCCCATGCTCCTTCACCTTCTTGCCATACACCGGGGCAGTGAGTTTGTTGTGATCTCTCTCACAGCTGAGCAGACTCGAGCACACAAGGACATTCAATCATGGGCTCTTGGCACGAGCACACAGCATAGATACTGACCTGACATTGGGCACATAGTCCATGATCTCGTTCATCTTCTCGCTGTACACCGATGAAGTGAGCTTGTTGTAAACTCTCTCGAAGCTGACCTGGCTCGAGGCACACTTTGTGAAGTCTCGACCTTTGACCTGCCTCAGCACGCACCTGGCTTTAGGCACATAGTCCATGAACTCCTTCATCTTCTCCCCGTTCACTGGCAGAGCTGACCTGAGTCAAGGCACACAAGCACATGCACTCCTGGCATGCCCTGAGCACACAGCACACCTGCCTCAGCACGCACCTGACTTTAGGCACATAGTCCATGAACTCCTTCATCTGCTCCCCATACACTGGCACGTTGGGTAGCTCGTCCGCATCCAGCACAAACTGATGGGGGCGGTGGGGGTTATGGGGGGTGATAGGGGTGATGGGGGTGATGGGGGTGACGGGGGTGATGGGGGTGATGGGGTGAGTGATGGGGTGAGTGATGGGGGTGATGGGGGTGATGGCGGTGATGGGGGTGATGGGGGTGATGGCGGTGATGGGGGTGATGGGGGTGATGGGGGTGATGGCGGTGATGGGGGTGATGGGTGTGATGGGTGTGATGGGTGTGATGGGGGTGATGGGGTGAGTGATGGGGTGAGTGATGGGGGTGATGGGGGTGATGGCGGTGATGGGGGTGATGGGGGTGATGGCGGTGATGGGGGTGATGGGGGTGATGGCGGTGATGGGGGTGACGGGGGTGATGGCGGTGATGGGGGTGATGGGGGTGATGGCGGTGATGGGTGTGATGGGTGTGATGGGGGTGATGGGTGTGATGGGTGTGATGGGGGTGATGGGGGTGATGGGTGTGATGGGTGTGATAGACGGAGACGATGGATGAAAGATGCCATTATGTAACAGCAGGGCACAGCATAATCGCAACAAATGATGTACTAGTGCTGAACGGCACAATGAACGCATGGAATGCATGCCATGCATGCCACCCTCCAAAGTCGATACTTGCATGAAAAACATCTCATACATGCTGCATGCACCCATATGATGCATGCACCCATATGATGCATGCACCCATATGCTGCATGCACCCATATGCTGCATGCACCCCCATCCTGCATGCAAGCACACTCGTTGTGTAACCCCATCACTCACATTGTATGCATCGTCAACTCCCACCGATGCAAAGGGAATGATCACTGCTCCAAACTTGACCTGCATGGGCAGCACATGGCACACGCAGCATGAGGCATGGCAACAAGTGGAGATGCAGAGCAGGTAAGTCAATGAGAGAAGGGACCCGAGTACCTCCACTCATTTTCAGAAGCTCAAACAACTTTGAGACTTCTCAAGAGTGACATATGCGTCTGCTAGACAAGTGTGTGCTTGACCATCGCACACAACTCCATAGCAACACACGAGCATGGGTTACCATTAGCAGCATGGTGACTCACCGCCATGCGCACGAACTCAGCGCGGTGCGGCCAGAAGAGGTTGTACTCCTCGCCCTGGGGTGTGGAATGGTGTGGTGTGGGTTGGCAAAGCATGGTTCATTATGGCACTGGAAGAAAACCCTTGGAATTCGGCAGTGAAACACGCATGCCTTGCACTTGCAGCACGGGCAGCGAAAGGTGAAAATTATCCTCCAGCGCCACTCCCTCTCTCCACAACCACTCACCCGTTTCCTCAGCGCCTCTCGCATGCCTCCCGGGAACAGCAGCGCCGCCTGGTCGGTGGCCATCAGGCGGTGCAGCACTTTAGGCGTCACCGGCACGGCGCCGAAGAGACGAAACTCCTCCGCCATGGGGTTGTGCTCTATAGAGCCTGGGAACTGGGTATGGCAAGGGGGATGGGGAATAGTGAGGAGTTGGTGGGGGCAGGCCGAAAAAAGGGAGGGGAGAGGAGTGAGCGAAGGCGAAGGGTTTTGTGCATGAGGGAGGATGGGGATCGGCTACGAGAGGAGAGAGGACCGGCATGTATGCCTGGTGGTTTGGTAAACCAAGAAGAGCAGTAGCTGGTGCTGCAATAGACTCAACCCATGGGCACTCACAGGGCAGAGCGAGAGAAAGAGGCACAGCACATCAGGGCACCCCACTCACCATGCCGAGGGCGAGAGGGTGGGCGAGTCCCCTGAGGGGCACTCCATGTGCGAGAAGCTCAGCTATCAAAGGGGAGAGATCTGGCGCGTATGTCTGGTGGTTTCCCACGAAGAGCAGCGGGCGCTCGTCTGTTGGTATTCCCTCTAAACCCAGCACGACGCGCGCGGACGAGGAGGAGGAATGGGAGGAGTGGGAGGAGTGGGAGTGGGAGGAGTGGGAGGAGTGGGAGGAGTGGGAGGAGTTTCTAAGCACTCTGCTGAGGTCGGTGGTGTCTCGCGCATCGTCCACCACTGTGGACAGGAACACGGGCGAGCACATGAGACGAATCGTGCCGTCCATGCCGCCCTTGCTGCGTGCAAACTCCTCCACGGTGGGCAGCACGAAGCCGTCCACTTGCGGGTCCTCGCGCCTGCTGCTGCTGCGCCTGTATACGCCCGCTCCCTTGATGATGCTCGCCAAATCTATGTCTGCCTCCTGGGTTGGGGTAAGAACAGGCAGGGAGGCAGGGAGGGAGGGAGGCAGGCAGGGAGGGAGGCAGGCAGGGAGGGAGGGAGGCAGGGAGGGAGGGAGGGAGGGAGGCAGGGAGGGAGGGAGGCAGGGAGGGGGGAGTGGCAGGTTGCTGAATGCACGAAGCCGTCCACTTGTGGGTCCTCCCGCCTGCTGCTGCTGCGCCTGTACACTCCTGCGCCCTTGATTATGCTAGCTAAATCCATGTCTGCTTCCTGCAAGGTGGGGGAATGGGGGAAGAGGGTGGGGGTGAAGGAAGAGAAGAGTATGTGGGCAGGAGAGTAGCCTTTGAAAGATACTAGCTGGATAAACGCCACATCTGATCTAACCATGCGCTTGTGTACCCTACCCTTCACGTCCCGCCACACTCACCGGCAGCACCCATCGCACTCACCAGCACCACTCTACCGTGTTACATTCACCAGCAGCCCCCGAGTTGGGGCACTGCTTCACTACTGTGGTGCAAGCTGCCATCTCCTTGTGCCGCCGTCATACCGTGCTGCACAGCGCACCCATCCCTAACTGCCCCCATCCCCACGTTCAAACTTCGGACCTCACTACCTGATCACGCTCACCAGCAGCAGCGTGTGCCCAGAGTTGGGGCACTGCTTCACTATTGTAGTGCATGCCGCCATCTCCTTGTGCAGTCGCTTTGCCTCCTCCTCACTCGATAGCATCTGATCCTCACCCCTGGTGCCAGGCAGACAGGGAGAAGAAGAAGAAAACGGAGGTCAAAAGAGGGAAAGAGAGGGAATGAGATGGAAAGAGGGGAAAGAGAAGGGAGAGGGAGGTGTACTTTGAATCCACTCACTTGGCAGCAGTGAGAGCGGTGTGTTTCATCCCCTTTAGCACCGACCCTATGGCAGGAAAGAGGAGCTGCCATGCAACGAGGTGTGTGCTTTGGTAGCTCTACAATCACACCACCACTCACCCGGCGACGATGAGCGTGGTGTGCTTGATGTCCTTAAGCAATGGCTCCACGGCCGCGCTGCCCTCCTCCAGCAGGTCCAGCTTCCACTCGAGTGTGGCCTGGGGGAGAATGTCCGCCACGAGCTGTGTGAGGGGTGGGGGTGGTGTGTGGTGGGATTAGGGAAGGAGGGAATACCCGCTAGTAGCATGAATCAGGCAAGGGAGGGAGTACAGTGGCACGCACTGCCCCTTCCTCCAGCAGATCCAGCTTCCACTGGAGCGTTGCCTGGGGGAGAAAGTCCGCCACGAGCTGCATGGAAGTGCGAGGGATGGGGAGGGGGAGAGGCATGCACAACATGCTAGATCATCACATCTCACAGACTGCATGGGTAGCGGATTGAAGAGCACCATGTTGCAGGTGCAGAATGGTGCAGCATGGTGCAGAATGGTGCAGAATGGTGCAGCATGGTGCAGCATGGTGCAGCATGGTGCAGAACGTGAATTAAGTAAAGGAGTAGATATCTCACAGGCTGTGTCACCATCATCAGCAGGTCTAACGGCCAGCATGGTCAGCATAGCATGAAATAAAATGAGACCTCACGGGCAGAATGGTCCGCATGGAGCAGTGTAGAATCTCACGGGAAGGATGGGCAGCAGGTCGAGCAGGTTCTGCCTGAGCTGCAGCAGGCGGTCGAGCGGAGAGGCGTCCAGGGGCACTCGCCCTGATGCCATGCGTATGGGGTTGCCTGGGAGGAGGGAAGAGGGCGATGAGGAGAGGGGAAGGATGGGGTTGTAAAGTTGAAATAGAGGTGAGGGTGGTGAGGCAGTGAATAGCAGCAGAAGCGATGCGTCTCAGGGCACTCGCCCTGATGCCATGCGCATGGGGTTGCCTGGGAGGAGGGAAGAGGGGCACGGGGGTAGAAGGGGGTTGAAACTTGATGTGTATAGCAGAGGAGAGGCGTCCAGGGGCACTCGCCCTGATGCCATGCGCATGGGGTTGCCTGGGAGGAGGGAAGAGGCGCACGGGGGGAGAAGGGGGTTGAAACTTGATGTGTATAGCAGAGGAGAGGCGTCCAGGGGCACTCGCCCTGATGCCATGCGCATGGGGTTGCCTGGGAGGAGAGAAGGCGGGGGTTGGGAGGGAGCTTGAGCGAATATTGTAGAGAGGCGAGGCGTGGAGAGGCATGTGGCTTGATGCCATGTGCATGGGGCATGGAGCATGCGGGGTTGAAGCATGGGGCACAGGGCGCGAGGGCTTACCCATGGTGAAGCTGAGGAGGTAGGGGAAGACGTGGTAGACGTCCGGAGGGATGGATCGCAGCACTGGGATGAGTGGGTGCAGTGGTGAGTGCGGGAAGCTCGTTGCTGGAGAGGGGAGAGAGGGGAGGGAGGGGGAGAGGGGGATGGGGGGAGAGAGGGAAGATGGGGGGAATGTGGGGGATTGGGGGGATGGAGCACAGCACCGGGATGAGCAGGTGCAGTGGCGAGCGTGGGAAGCTCGTTGCTGGGAGGGGAGAGGCGAGGGGAGAGGGGGAAATGGAGAGGGAGAGGAAGGGAACGGGGAGGGGAGGGGGAATGGAAGATGAAAAGATAGGTTGAATGAGTGGCGGAGCGACATGGAGGGGGATGAGGAAGAGGAAGGGGAAGCGGAAAGCGAAAAGCAGGAAGATGAGCGGGGAAGCGAGGTTGGGCAGAGAGGCAGGGGGAAAAGTGCAGGTGCAGGGGAAACATGTAGCAGGATCAAGGAGGATGTGCTGCGTTACACACCAGGGTTGGCGAGTACAAGGGTGATGGGTAGGTTTCGAGCAGAGACAGCGAGGGCGAGAAGGGCGCCAAAAGACTCCCCCAGGAGAAAGAGCGCGCGGGAGAGAGGAGGGTGTGGTATGTAGATGGTAAGCATGTTAAAGCACGTACCAGGATTGACGAGCACGAGAGTGATAGGCAGCTTGGGGTTCCTGGCGGACACAGCGAGGGCGAGCAGGGCGCCGAAGGACTCCCCCAGGATGAAGAGCGCGCGGGAGGGGTTCAGGTTGTGCTCCGTGGTGACCTCCTCCTCCACCAGGTCAACTAGACGAGAGAATTCTGAGCGATCGGATAGAGGCACGTGCAGACAGGTCACCTCGAACAGCCTGGATGGTGTGGTGGGGGGGGGAGGGACAGAGGCGATGGGAGATGGCATGGCAGGGAAGGGGTGAATGGAAGGTTGATGGGGAGGGTGAAGGTGGTGCTCCGTCGTCACCTCCTCCTCCACCAGGTGGACGAGGGAAGAGACGTCGTTGCGGTCAGAGAGTGGCACGTGCACACGCGTCACGTCCAACAACCTGGGGGGTGTGGGGGGCGGGGCGGTGTCAAGATATGACCTTTGAGTGGAGAACAGTGCGTCATTATGGGCTAGATTAGTGCGCATCACCCTGAACCTTGAGCGCACCTTGAGTGCACCTTGAGTGCACCTTGAGTGCCCAGCTGTTGATCACCTTGGGTTGTCCGGACGAGAGCATACCTGGCGAGTGTCTTGTGGTGCAGCTGCAGGCCAAACCCCGTTCCCTCGATGCCTGCACGCAGCACAAGAGTAGTATAAACGTCAGCATCAGCATCAGCATTAGTACCAGCATCAGCATTAGCACCAGCATCAGCATTAGCATCAGCATCAGCATTAGCATCAGCATTAGCAGGGAACAATCAGCATTAGCATCAGCATCAGCATCAGCATTAGCATCAGCATCAGCATTAGCATCAGCATCAGCATTAGCATCAGCATCAGCATCAGCATTAGCATCAGCCTCAGCATCAGCATCAGCATCAGCATCAGCATCAGCATCAGCCTCAGCATCAGCCTCAGCATCAGCCTCAGCATCAGCATCAGCATCAGCATCAGCATCAGCATCAGCCTCAGCATCAGCATCAGCATCAGCATCAGCATCAGCATCAGCCTCAGCATCAGCCTCAGCATCAGCATCAGCATCAGCATCAGCATCAGCATCAGCACCAGCATCAGCATCAGCATCAGCATCAGCATCAGCATCAGCATCAGCACCAGCATCAGCATCAGCATCAGCATCAGCATCAGCATCAGCATCAGCGTGTTACCAACCATGAACTCTGAACCAAGAGGGACACCTCTGCAGGACCGCAGCACCCTCACCACCACATACATCTCTACACAGCCCACACCAGCTCACACCAGCTCACACCAGCTCAAACCAGCTCACACCAGCTCACACCAGCTCTTGAATCTCCAGCCATCCGCGTTCAACCCCCCTCATCCTCCCCCGCATCACACTCATCCTCTCGTTCCGCCCACAATCATCCCGTCTTCCATGCTCAATTCACATGCCCCTCACCGCTCCTCCCTTCCCCACGCCCCTCGCGCTCCGCGTTCCCCCACCTGGCAGGAAGAAGAGCCGCGGAAGCAGCCCCTCTTCGCTGGGCGGAACGGCATCCGCGGGGCACAGGAACCGCGGAGGCCCGCTCTCCGCCTTCTCCGCCGCGCGCTCTCCGCTCCCCGCGCCTGCGCTGCTCTCAACGGCGGCCCCCGCGGATCTGGGGAATAGCGACTCCAGGAACGGGGGGACCGGCAGGGGGAGCGGCGGCATGGGGACGGGCAGGGGAAGCTGGGGGAAGGGCAGCGGGAGCGGGGGAAAGGGCAGGGGGGAAGGCGCAGCAGGCGCAGTGCTGCTCGCGCGGGATTCGGCGCCTTGATTCCCCTGAATGACCTCTTGCACGGCGCGGAGGTAGTCGAACACGTCGGGCGGAATGTGCTCCTTCCGCACGTCCTTCACGCGCGCGTACCTCGCGCGCACCGCCCTCGTCCGCTCCCGCATCGCTGCGCGCATCGCCGCCCGCTCCCTCTCTGCTTCTCCCTCCCCGTTTTCCCCACCCGTGCCCCTCGCGCGGCCGTTGGTCGCGGATCCGTTTGTAAGGGAACGCGCGGAGCCATTCGGCGGGGATGTATCGGCGGAAGCACCAGCAGCGGAAGCGCTTTCAAGCGTGGCGCTGCAGTTGGGGCTACGCGCGGGGGAGGGAGTGACGGAATCGGCAGTGCTGTTTAGCGCGCGCTCGCTCCTCGACGCGGGAATCTGCGCCGTTGCGGTGATGCGCACGCGGTGAGGAGCTCTGCGCGCGGAGTCGCGGGAAAGGTGGCGGATTTGCGGGTCCGCGGCGCAAAGTGCGCTCGCCTGGCGATGACACAGCATGGCGGAGGAGATTTAGGGAACTAGCGTCGAATAAAGGAGGGAATGTGGTAGGCTGGGACGGAGCGACAGCAGCGTGTGCGACAGAAACGTGTGCAACAGCGACGCGTGCGACAGCACCGTGTGCGAAACGGAGGCTACTACGGAGAACGCAGGAACGCGTAAGTCAAGGAGAGGAAAGCTGAGGCGCACGCTGGAGAGTAGGGCAACCCAGCAGAAAAAGGACAGCCTTATTTATCTCAGCTTGAGGAGCAAATCAAGACGCAACAGCAGCAAAGAGCAAAGAAAAGAGATTCCATCCACACCCCAAGCAAACGCTTCGCGTGCATCCGTCCGTGCTCCAGTGGAGAAATTAGAGGCTCTGGCTGTATTCCGGCTCGCTCCGAGCCTGCCGACCTTGGGTTTGGCAGGGCGGGAAAGGTAATGTACAGTTGCAGGTCGACGCTTTCCAGGAGAACAGGGAAGCTCCTCAGAATGCCACGTGGCTGCGAAACATTTGTTGCTGGCAGTCAACGCGTGGCTATGCGAACGAGTGGCCACGACTAGATGTTTGCGAAGCTCGCGACAAGCCCTCGATTTCGTCAAGTGAATTCGTCGTAAATAAATGAAGAATGTGTTACAGATTTCAGCAATACAATTATGGCGCATTGTCATTCACAACAATCCGACAGCTCCTAGTATTGAGCGAGCTTTTATGGCAACAACATCAATATTCCTCCCCCTGCCAGCCAACACACAACAGAGATTCAAATCCAACAATGTGCACCATTCGAATTCAACATCCCCACTACTAATGGCTCCGCTACCAGCTACTGTAATCCCCGACCCTCGCTCCTGCGCTTCGAACCTCCTCCGTTCGCGCCTCAGACTCCCTTCCGCGCACAGCCGCCCCTTTCGTCTCTCTTCTGCACAGAATTGCCCCTCTCGCCACAGCCGCGAGCGCAAACTGCCTCCCCTCAGCGCATCCGCAGAGTTCCTACAGCGGCTGCGCGCACGTGCGCCCTGCTCCGCCTTGAATCCCCGGCGAGGCGGGATAAACGGAAACGGACCGCACGCAGTTGAACGTGGGTGGCACAGAGGCCTGTTTAGAATGCGTGACGCTATATCGGGGATACGAAGCAGCCAGGCAGGCGGAAGCATGCTGACCCGTGCGACGAATCGGCGCGCAAGCGGCGACGGAGCCACAGAACGTCGAAACGGCGCCGGCGACGGCGGCGACGGCAGCGACTACGGCGACACGATGGACGGTGGGGATGATCCGAGCCGCCGCTACACGGTGGACGATGCGCTATCCGCCGTCGGATTCGGCGCGTTTCATTGGCTGCTGCTGGGATATGCCGGGCTGGCGTGGGCGGCAGAGGCCATGGAGCTGCTGCTGCTCTCCTTCATCGCCGCCCCTGCTGCCGCCCACTGGGGCGTGGGCGGCGACGGCGAGGCGGCGCTGTCGTCTGTAGTGTTTGCGGGCATGCTGGTGGGCGCGTTCGCGTGGGGACTGCTGGCGGACAGCCGTGGGCGCAGGTGAGCGGATGGGGGGGAAGGGAGAAGAGAGGAGGGGGGGTAAGGGGAAAGGGAAGGGGCAAGTGAGAGGATGAAAGCACGTTCGCGTGGGGTCTGCTGGCGGATAGCCACGGGCGCAGGTGAGATGATGGTGGGGGAGGGGAGAAAGACAGGAAATGGCTGATGTACTCTGGTCTGGTCAGGTTGCTCTCAACACTCGCGGGCATGCTGGTGGGCGCATTCGCGTGGGGAGTGCTGGCGGACAGCCGTGGGCGCAGGTGAGACGATGGCGTGGGGGGAGGAGAGGACATGGGGGGGGATAAGGGGAAGGGAAAGTGGAAGGGGAACTGAGAGGATGAAGGTGCGTCTGCGTGGGGTTTACTGGCGGACAGCCGTGGGCGCAGGTGAGAGGATGGCAGGGGAGAGGGGGAAGAGGGGATGAGGGGAAGTGGGGGGGAGTGTGAGAGGTTAGCGGGGGGATGGGGAGAAGGTGAGAGGTGGATATGAGCATGGGTTTTAACGAGGGGAACGGCTGAGGTACCTCTTCCCTCCCCCATCCTTCCTTCTCCATCCCCCCCCTTCCCCTCTGAATCCTTCCCTCCGTATCCCCACAACAAGCCCTGGTTTGCCTTCACAGCAACAGTGCTTCCCCCCTTCTGCTCTCTGCCTGCCCCAAATCCCCCATCCCTCCCTTCCACTCCTCCATCTCACACCCCCTCCCTCCCTCCTCTCCCTCGCACTCTCCCATCCCCCCCACCGCAGGTTCGCCTTCACAGCAACGGCCCTCCTCACCTTCCTAGCAGCGCTCCTCTCGGCACTCGCCCCTTCCTTCCCTCTCCTCCTCGCCGCCCGCGCGCTCGTCGGGGTCGGTCTGGGCGGCGCGCCCGTCATCTTCTCGCTCTTCCTCGAGTTCACGCCGCCCGCTTCCCGCGGCTTCTGGTCCCTCGCGCTCTCGCTCTTCTGGACCGTCGGATCGGTCACCGAAGCTGCACTAGCATGGGCAGTGCTACCAGTGCTAGGCTGGAGATGGCTCATAGTGCTCTCCTCGCTGCCTCTCCTCCTGCTGCTGCTGCTCTTCCCACTGCTTCCTGAATCTCCGAGGTACCTTCTGGTGAAATCTCGGCCGTTGGATGCGCTGGCAGTGCTGCAACACGTGGCAAGGCTCAATAGGAGGCCGCTGCCAGCAGGGCAGGTCAGCCTGGTTGCAGGGGGCGGGGGGTCTCAGGGTGGATCTCAGGTGGAAAAAACAGAAGGGGGAGAGTCAGAGGAAGGGGCACCGCTGCTGCAGAGTGAGAGCGAGAGGAACAGCTGGAACCCTTCCCTCCCTTCCCTCCCCGGCCTCCCCTCCCTCCCCTCCTTCCCGCCGCCAGCCCTGCGCCAGCTGCTCTCCCCGCCTCTTCTCACGACCACACTGCTGCTGTGGGGGGCGTTCTTTGCCAATGCATTCTCCTACTATGGCCTCGTTCTGCTCACCACGCAGCTCACCACTGCCACTCCTGCCTGCCCCCCTGCTGCTGCTGCTGCTGCAGTCACTGCTGCCACCGCTGCTGCCGCTGCCAGTGGTGGTGGTGCTGCTGCTGCTGGTGATACCATAGCGACTGCTGCAACTGCTGTCGGTGCTGCTGCTACTGCGACTGCTGCCGCTGCTGCTGCTTCCGGAGCAAAGGCAGCAGCAAGGGACGCACTGGAGCGACTAGGGCAGCCCTTCTTTTTCGGTGTGCTTATAACGAGTGCAGCAGAGCTCCCCGGGTTGCTGCTCTCCGCGCTTATAGTGGATCGAATGGGTCGAAGGACTACCATCGCGGCCATGCTTGCTGCTGCCGCCCTCGCCCTCCTCCCCCTCCTCCTCCACTCCCTCCTCCCAGACTTGTCAGTTCTTGTGTTCGCCGCCCGCCCGGCTGCCACTGTAGCAGCGCTGTTTGTTGCCCGGGCGGCGATCATGGGGTCGTTTCAGACACTGTTCATGTTCGCTCCAGAGGTGAGCCACTCTGCCGGCTCTTAAGCCGCCTCAAGCAGTTTCTGTGGTGCCTTTTGTTGAATGCTGAGAGATCTGCACCAGAGGTGGGGAGCGTCTGTGCTGGGCGCTGTACGTTCGCATGGGTCTTCCTCTCTGCTGTTATCTGCCTCAATTTGCTGGCTGCAGTTGTAAGCAGACGCTGCAACATTTGCATGAGCTGCAGTCGTGGCACAGGCTAGCCTTTTCATTAACCCCCCTTTGCCCATCCTCTCCTTTTCCTTTCCCTCCCCCTTCTCCTCTCCCCACTCCTCTCTACCCACTCTCCTCTCCCCCCGCCCCCTCTCGCAGCTTTATGCCACGTCCATCCGATCTTCTGGCCTGGGCTTCGCCAGCTCATTCTCCCGCTTGGGTGGCATCCTTTGTCCTTATGTGGCAGTCACTTTGGTGCAGGGATGCCAAGTATCTACAGCACTGTCCCTCTTTGTAGCAGTCCCGCTTACAGCAGCAATAGCCACCACGTTTTTCCCAGTAGAAACCGCAAGAAGAGCACTTATAGAGGTGCATGTTGAGGAAGGGGAGTATGGGGGGCAGAATGAACAAGAAATTAGCCGAAAGCAAGGTGATGTGAAAGATGAATGATGCAGCTTGTGATGCTGTTTGTACAGTGGCATGGCCAACCAATCCATACCCTTATGCTCGACTACAATGTTTATCTATGGGCTGGTTGTCGTTCGCAAGAGGTTATGGTATGGATACAACCTGATACGGTAGTACGGTATCGAGTCAAGCATAACCCAACTCTCTGGCCACGGCTGCTTTGGCCCAGCTCCCCCCAGATGTGAAAAATAAACAAGCTGTAATGAAAATTGTGTAGTAGCTTGCATTATACAGGTGTGTGCTTACATTGCTCAGCTCTAGATGCCTAGCCCCTAGCTCGGAACAGAATCAGACCGCATGAGTTTGTAAAATGTCTCCCTAAGTCGTAGGATAAAAAGGCAGAGAGCAATGGCTTTCTATCTACGTGCCATTCATATCCTCTCCTCTCCTCCACTCATTTACCCTGACATTCCCTCCCCATGTAGTCTTGCCTTCCATCATGCTCCACTTGCCTCCAGCGACTGCCAGCCTGCAGATGGCATGATGCCATGCCACACCATGGCACACCATACTATGCCACACCATGCCATGCCACACATGCCATACCACACATGCCATGCCACACATGCCATGACACACCAGCAATGACAAACATGTCATGCCACACATGACATGACACACATTGGCACCAAGGAAGGCACATCCCAAACAATGGGATGCCATGCCACACAACGGCAAACCAAGCCATGCCACAGCATGGCGTGCCAAACCATATAATGCCAGGAATGTCAAACCACACCATGCCACTCCATCGCAGACCCCAAGCCATCGCACACTGTGCCATGCCACAACATGGCACATCACACTATCACCACCAAATGATCACACCATAGAATATCACAGTATCATGCCACACAGTAAGATGACACACAGTAACATGCCACACAGTTACATACCAGGCAGCATCATACCATACAACATCATACCAGACAATATCATACCATATAGTCTCATAACATACAGCAGCATACCATACAGTGTCATACCAAAGAGTAAAATACCACACAATATGACACCATACAGTATCATACCATACAGTACCATACCAGACTGTCTCATACCATACAGTAATATAAATTACAGAATCATACCATGTAGTCTCATAGTATAAAGTATCATACCATACAGTGTCATACCAACCAGTATCATACCAACCAGTATCATACCATGCAGCACCATACCTTACAGAATCATACTTGACAGTATCATACCGTACAGTGTCATACTACACAGCATCATACCATGCAAAATCATACCATACAGTACCATTCCATACAGTACCATATCATACAGTATCATACCATACAGTATCATACCATACAGTATCATTCCATACAGTATAATTCCTTAGAGTATCATACCATACAGTATCATACCATACAGTAACATACCATTCAAATCCTACCATACAGTATCATATAATTCCATATAAACCATACAGTATCATACCAAACAGTATCATCCTTACAGTATCATTCCATACAGTATCATACCATACAGCATCATACCATGCAAAATCATACCATACTGTATCACTCCATATAGAATCATATCATACACAATCATAACATACAGTATCATCCCATACAGTAGCATATCTTACACTATCATACCATACAGCATCATACCTTACAGTATCATACCTTACAGTATCATACCACACAGCATTATACCATGCAGCATCATACCATACTGTATCATTCCTTACTGAATCATATCATACAGTAACATACCTTACACTATCATACCACACAGTCCATACAGTAACATACAATACAGTATCACACCATACAGTATCATACCATAGGGTATCATACCATAGGGTGTCATACCATACAGTATCATTCCATAGGGTGCCATACCATACAGTATCATTCCACACGGTAACATACCTTACAGTAGCGTACCATACAGTATCATACCATAGGGTGTCTTACCATACAGTAGCATACCATACAGTAGCATACCAAATAATATCATACTATACAATAGCAAACCCCCACCACAACTTACCAGCCCATCCCCCAGCAGTAGGAGCAGCAGACAACCCAATCCCTTTCAGAAACAGCAGCTTCAGTGGCTGTGACTTGCGGGGGAGATGTGGCAGTGGAAAAGCATGATCTGGCCCAAGACTCAAATCCCACCCCTGACGTAGCTAGAGCTGACGCGAACCAGAGCCGCCGGCCGGTCGGCTCTGACAGTGTCCATTAAGCTTTGAACGCCAGATCGGTTACTTGAGCACCGAGTGCCGCCGCCACGCAGATTCCACCCACCACACCCCACCCACAAGCCACAACCCCAGAGGGTGCCGCCCCTAAGAGAGTGTGCTGCCCGCTTGCTCCCATGCTGCCCCCCCACCCGCCCACCTCCACCCATCCCTTCACCCCATGCCTGCTCACCTGTACCTACCAGAGCCATGCAGCGCCATGATTCCTGAGGCTGCTGGGAAGTGGGGAGGGGGGGATTAAGAGAGGGTGGGACTCCACTGTGGTCCAGGCAGGGTGCTGTTGGGTGGGAGGGAGGAGGGAGAGAAGAGGAGGTGAGTGAGAGGGTGGACTCCACACTCCGCCCTTGCTTCAGCGCTCCCATCCTCAGGCTGCAGGACAGAAGGGGGGAAACAGAAAGGAGGGGGTCAGAATACCTGACCTGTAACCATACCTTACCTGTTACCACACCTTGCATACCATGACTCCACCTAGCCTAGCCTGCCCTCTAGCCCCCCAACCCCCACTGCTGCTACAGCTGCTGCTGCTCCGCTTCTGCTGCTACAACTGCTGCTGCCGGTCTGCTTCTCAGCTGCATTCTTCCCTTGATGCCATGTGACCTGGTGGCAGGCAGAAAGGAGGATAAGAAGGAAGTTGACATACCTTGAGAGGCCGAGCCCACCCCGATACTCTCCCTTGTGGCAGCGATTGCCATCTGCTGCAGTGCTGCCGCCCTCCCCTTCCCATGAGTCCCTGCACGGCCACAAGGGAGGGGCGTGGGAGAGCGTCGGTGTTGACCCCACACCCCTCCCTCCACCTGCAATGCACACAAGCAGAGATAGTCAGTGTGCAATCAAAACACAAGGCTGACATGCCAGCTGGAAATTCAAACACAGGGAAGTCGAGGGAAGGGACCACTGGTGGAGAGGAGGCAAGGAGAAAGCCGACGTACCTTGAGAGGCCAAGCCCACCCCGATACTCTCCCTTGTGGCAGCGATTGCCATCTGCTGCAGTGCTGCCTCCCTCCCATCCCCCCGAGTCCCTGCATGGCCACAGGGGAGGGGTGTGGGGAAGTGTCGGTGTTGACCCCAGCGCCCCTCCCCTCCACCCGCAATGAACACGCACAGAGCCTGTCAGTGTGCAACCAAGGAATCAAGCTGGATCAGCAACTGCGAGTTTCAAAACAACACAAGCAAGGGGAGGGGAGGGGCCACTGGTGGAAACACAACCCAAAGCCACAGACCTTTAAGGGAACCTGAGGGGATAAACCTGCAGTAGGGGTTGTACCTGATGGGGCTGTAAGGCCTAGGGAGGGCTTAACCTGAGGGTTTTACCAGGAGTAAGGGAAGGTCTGTGGCTTGTGAATCCGGCCCCAACCAGTGGCAAGATTTCAGGGATAAAACACAGAAGCCCATGTGAAAACGACAAGAGTGATTCAGTATGACCAGTGAACAGCAAGCAAGAGTGAGTCCAGGGAGGAGAAAGCACTTATCTGGCAGCTGAAGAAGCGGTGAGAGATGCTGCCTCATGTCCCCCTCCCTCCCCTCCCCTTCCCTGCTGCACCAATGCTCCCCGCTGCTGATGCTGCCACAACTGGTCCCGCCAGCTGTCTCTGCTGCATTGCGAGTGACTTGGAAGGGGGGCAGAACGGAAGGGAAGGCCAGGAGGGGAGTGAGTGCATGCCTTGAAACAGGCAAGGGCGAATCAAAGAGGCAAACGCGAGAGGGAAACTGAGCAGAAAACGAGTGCAGCGGGAAAGCGAGGTAAGAGGCTCACCTTGAGAGGCCAAGCCCTTCCCAATACTCTCCTTCGCTGCAGTGGGATTGCCATGCTGCAGCGCTGCCTCCCTCCCATCCCCACGAGTCCCTGCACGGCCACCGGGGAGAGGCGTGAGGAAGCGTCGGTGTTGACCCCACACCCCTCCCCGTCACCTGCAATGAGCACACACAGAGCTAGTCAGAGCACGGAGGTGGGAGAAAGTTGATTGGGTAACCATAACTTCAGAACCAGCGCAAGAGAAGAGAGGAGCCACTGGAGGAGGTACGGCCACAAGCTACAGACCCAAGGGCACCTGAAAAAGAACCTGAGGGGTATACCTGCACCTGAGGGAATCACCTGAAGCAGCGAGGTCTGTAGCATGTGAGCCGCATCCAACCAGTGGCGTTGTTTCAAGAGGACGGTGCAGCAGCAGATGAAACGAAGGAAACGGTGTGGCAGGCAAGGGTGAGGGCAAGGAGGAACGGGTACTTAGCTGATGGCGTGAGAGCAGGAGGCAGTTGAAGCAGCATTGGCAGCAGGCATGGCATGGCGTCTCAGGCGACCAGCAGCGCTGCTCTTGAGCTCCTGCGAGGGGGGCTGGAGAGGGAGAGGAGGGGATGAGAGGGGAGGGGAGGGGAAGGGATGGGAGTGGAGGGAGAGGCAGTGAGTGGGATGGGAGGGAGTCACTACATGGAAGGGGAAGCATGCATGCAAGCGTGGTGAATAGAAGAAGAGCGAAAAGAGGGCCACTGGTGGAAGCACACTCACAAGCCACAGACTACGGTCTTTACCAAAGGGCTTTACCTGGAAAAATGCTTTACCTGGGGGAGGGTTCTACCAGTAATGGGGAGGGTCTATGAGCTGTTACGTGTGCTGCCACAAGTGGTTCCGTTTTTAGAGAAACAGAAATGACGGAAAAACGAAGCGAGAATGGAAGCATGGAGGAGCGAGCACTTGTGATTATGTGATTGTGTGCAGAGGGCAGGTGAAGCATGTGCCGGCACCACCAGGTGTTGTCTGCTGCCGCCAGTGGCTTGACGCATGAGGAGAACGCTGATGCTGTCCCACGTCCGTCCGCCTGCCACTGCTGCTCGCGATGAGGCCTGGAAGCGGGGGGGGGGAAGGGAGGGGAGGGGAGGGGGAGGCGAGGGGTGCACAAGGAAAGGCAGTGAGTGGGATGGAATCACCACGGCGTAAAGGGATGCATGCAAGCGCGGTAGAATTGAAGAAAGGCGAAAGGAGGGCCACTGGTGGACGCACACTGACAAGCCACAGACTACGGTCTTAACCAGAGGGCTTTACCTGGAAAATGGCTTTACCTGGGGGGGGGCTTTACCAGTAATGGGGAGGGTCTGTGGGATGTTTCCTGTGCTGCCACCAGTGGTTCCGTTTTGAGAGAAACAGAAATTACAGAAATACGAAGCAAGCATGGAGGCATGGAGGAGCGAGCACTTAGCTGATGATGTGGTGGTTGTGTTCAGAGGGCAGGGGGAGCATGTGCCGGCACCACCAGGAGCTCTCTGCTGGCGCCAGGCGCTGATGCTGCCTCACGTGGTGAGGTGACTTGCGGCCCCACGCCCGTCTGCTACTGCTCCTTCCAAGCAGTAGCCGAGTGACCTGCACAGGTGTGAGGGTCGGAAGGAATGCGGAGAGAACACAGTGAGGAGAGGGGATAGAGCAGCAAATGCGTAGCACCTGGGGGAGGAGGGGAGAAGGGGGACGGGGGGGATGGGGGGAGGGAGGGAGGAGGAGGCTCATGGCACACATGCACGAGCGAGCGACGGCGAGGGAGACAGAAGGGAGGAGGGGACTGGACGCGTGCGTGCAGCAGCGACTGCCAGTCTAATCTACCAAGAACCACTAGCGACTCTGCTCTATGCAAGCGGCTCAAGCAAGCGATGTGTGACATGGGCTCCCCGGGGGGAAGGGAAGATGGGAAAGATGCATGGTACAGCATGCAGCGTTCGAAAAGCACGGGAAAACGAGAAGTGGTACGAGGAGAGCGGGAAGGGCTGAGCACTTAGCTTCATGGACGGCGTTTGACGGCATGTTGGTTGGTGGTGCGCGTAGCACGCTGCGCGCGAGTGGCATGCATGCTGTCGCAGGTGCGCAGGCTGTCTGAGTCACTCAGCTGCTCGCCGCGTTGCTTCCTTCCAACTTCCGTTCAGAGCGTTCACACACTGCACTGCAACGTCAACACACAAAGTTCGTCAGACGCTGGATTCGAACCCGCACAAACGACTTTCCACACGCAAAAGGACAAGCCGCAGTTTCCCACCCTCGATTGCAGCAGCAGCTCGGATTGCAGTGGCAGCTTTGACCTTAGCGTTTCTCCTCGGGTCACAGGTTTGTAAGAAGCGGGAAAAAACCTTCGCGCCTCCATTCCGAGTCGCAACTTTTTTTTTTTCTGCACATGACAAAAAGAAATGTCAAGGATCGAAATAGTAAAGAAACGGGAAAATGCATACGACTAATGTTGGAACACTGGTTACGAAGATACTACTTACACACGCTGTACCAGCAACTCGTATTGCGTAGAAGCTAAGAGCGCACCCCAGCGCTTCAGCAAAAAAACTGCGTATCACAACAGGTATGTCAGATCGAGCGATCAAATCTCTTGAAACGAACGAAGCGATTAACTCGATCATAATGATATACTCCGGTACTTACAGCGCAACTCCTGCAAGATGAAGAAATAACTTCCGTCGAATAACGGTTCTTGAAGCAGCATTTTACCATGTCAAAGTGGAGCCTTGATTTGGACGAACACCAACAATGCGATTCTTCGAAGCGTCGTAGCGATCTCAACCTATCTTGAGCTTCTATCGATCGTTTGCCGAAAGGTAATGGCAGCAGAAGCGAGGAAAGGCCTAGTGGAAGGTGAATCGCAAGAATGGAAGAATTCAATGTGATGAGGGAAATGTGACATGGGATGGGAATGGAAACTTGCAACTGCATGCGGAAGGACAGATTGTCCTAGGCTGCGTGGGAGGAGTTGGGTCAACACCGTGGTGTGAGTGGAGCTCCGCTGCTACTCTCTTCAAACATATTTTTCAGAAAAAACAGTGGTCCAAGGCAAGTCCAACTTGGTTAAACGTCAATGTCTAGAGTGACTCCGAATGCCTTTTCCAACTCGCAGATCCAAGGGCTGGAATGGAGTTGTACGTATTTCTAAATAACGGTGGAGAAAAAAACTACGAAGAAATCAAGCATGAACATTTTATGCCGGCAAATCCTGCACCCCACTCTTTCAGCCACTCCTTGCGCTCGAAAATGGGAATCAAAGCAAGCACGACACGGTATCGCAGGGAGGGATGGTTGTTGGTTTTCAAATGCGGTGGATGGATCTACAGAGCCGTCGGATTATCTTAACGGAACAAGGGAACGACTCAGATTACTTCTAAGCGAGATCGCCAACCGACATTTTCAAACGCCGCTAAAGGACCCGCCAGATTGCCGTAGGTCGGTTAGCCAATGGCAGCAAAACCTAACTGACCGTTGAAGGCAGGCTCCTGCGATCTAGTTCTAGTTGGATAGGCTTCCCTGCTCTCTCAGCCTCTTGATAGTTGGGAAACTGCTGCTCACACCCTAGCAAAGCGGGGTGGTGGTAACGAATGAGGCAGGATTTGAGAAAGTTTTCTGACGAAATGTATTTTGCGTAACCTTTCTAGTTTGTCAGCGATTGTGAATATCTGTTACGAGCGCAATTGAGTGAGCGAGCGAGGATTGCACTATCGAGACAAGAATACAATGAGCGAAGGATTGAGCGAAGAATGGGGTGCGCGACGGGCCTGGTGCCGAGGTTGGGGACTGTCGAGGCGGAGGTCCGGAGCGCGGGTTACCAATGAACCGTGAGGTTGGGTCGCGTCGTGAACATGTCAGAATGAAATTGTATGCATTATTCTATAACTGCCTGTAGTGTAGACTTAGTGTAGTGCTAAACTTCTTTGGTGGTGCACCTTGGTTGCTTTGCCTATATCTTGTACTTTCTTCTCCTATTGAACCATCTTTCCTCTCTCACTTTTTACTCTCGACAATTGCCTAGCTCACACCCTAGCTATGGCTCCCTAGCTTATGAGCTAATCTCAACATGCTATCATAGTAGGTCGTTTCTAGGACCTAACATTCATGGGCCCACCACCTACTGCCCTGCTAGCCTAGGCCCCGGCCCGTCGCCCCTTGGCGTCACCCCTAGCCCCTAGGCTCGCCCCCTAGGCCCCGTCGCTCACAGCCCCTCGGCCCCGTCGCTCACGGCCCCTAGGCCCCGGCCCGTCGCTGCCCCTAGCTCAGCCCCTTGGCCCCGTTGGCCTCGTCGCCCCTAGCCGCGCCCCACGGTCCCGTTGGCCCCGTCGACCCCGTCGCCCCTAGCCGCGCCACTCGGCCCCGTTGGCCCCGTCGCCCCTAGCCGCGCCCCTCGGCCCCATTGGCCCCGTCGACCCCGTCGCCCCTAGCCGCGCCACTCGGCCCCGTTGGCCCCGTCGCCCCTAGCCGCGCCCCTCGGCCTCGTTGGCCCCGTCGACCCCGTCGCCCCTAGCCGCGCCACTCGGCCCCGTTGGCCCCGTCGCCCCTAGCCGCGCCCCTCGGCCTCGTTGGCCCCGTCGACCCCGTCGCCCCTAGCCGCGCACCTTGGCCCCTAGGCCCTGTCGCCCCTAGCCGCGCCCCTCGGCCCCGTTGGCCCTGTCGCCCCTAACCGCGCCCCTCGGCCCCCCTTGGCCCCGTCACCCCTAGCCGCGGCCCCTAGGCCCCGTCGCCCCCAGCTGCGGCCCCTCGCGACCCCAGGCCCCGTCGCCTCGGCCCCTTGGCCCCGTCGCCCCTAGCCATGGCCCCTCGCGACCTGCCGCCCCTAACCGCGGCCCCGTCGCCTCTAGCCTCGGCCCCTAGCGACCTGTCGCCCCTAGCCGCGGCCCCGGTGCCCCGTCGCATCATGGAGGGTAAGGGGGTGGCAAGAGGGGTGACGGCTTCCTGCCCGCGTGCCCTGCAGTCGCACGCGCAGCTCCGCCCCCGCCCCCCTCCCCCCCCTCCATGGGGACGGGGGGGAGAGGGTGTGAGGGGGTGGCGGATGTGCCTCAGCAGCAGCAGCTGCCGCCACGCCTCCTCCTCTCTCTCTCCCTGCCGCACCTTGTGTTGGGAAGGGGGGGGGGAGCTTGGAGGTTCAGGGGGGAGGCAGGAGGGGATCTGCAGCACCAGCCCCCCCCGCCCCCCCTTTCTCCTCCACCCCTGGGGGGTGAAGGATTGTGGAGCAGCAGTGGGGGGGAGGGGATCTGTAGCACCAGCCCCCCCCCTTCTCCTCCATCCCCCTGCTGCGGGTGCAGCAGTGGGGGGAGGGGATCTGCAGCACCATCTCCCTCCACCCGCCCCTTTCTCCTTCACCCCCCTGCTGCAGGTGCAGCAATGGGGGGGGGGGGGGGGCGGGTATGGGGGTGGCGGGATCTTGGAGGCTCCAGGGGTGGCGGGATCTTGGAGGCTCCAGGGGTGGCAAGAAGGGATCTGCAGCACCAGCCCCCCCCCCACCCTCCCCCCCCCCCCCCCCCCCCCCCTTCTCCTCCATCCCTCTGCTGCGGGTGCAGCAGTGGGGGGGAGGGGATCTGCAGCACCAGCCCTCCCCCCCCCCCCCCCGCCCCCCCCCCCCCTTCTCCTCCATCCCTCTGCTGCGGGTGCAGCAATGGGGGGAGGGGATCTGCAGCACCAGCCCCCCCCCCAGCCCTCCCCACTTCTCCTCCATCCCCCTGCTGCGGGTGCAGTGGTGGGGGGGAGGGGATCTGCAGTCCTGTGCGCCCTGCTGCCCTGCTGCCCTGTGCGCCCCGCGCGCCCTGCAGCCCTACTGCGCCCCACGCGCCCTGCTGTCCTGCTGCCCTGCACGCCCTGCGCGCCCTGCAGCCCTGTACGCCCTGCTGCCCTGCAGCCCTGCGCGCCCCGCGCGCCCTGCTTCCCTGCAGCCCTGTGCGCCCTGCTGCCCTGCAGCCCTGTGCGCCCTGCTGCCCTGTGCGCCCCGCGCGCCCTGCAGCCCTGCTGCGCCCCGTGCGCCCTGCTGCCCTGCTGCCCTGTGCGCCCCGCGCGCCCTGCGGCCCTGCACGCCCCGCGCGCCCTGCTGTCCTGCTGCCCTGCGCGCCCTGCAACCCCGCGCGCCCTGCTGCCCTACAGCCCTGTGCACCCAGCTGCCCTGCAGCCCTGTGCGCCCTGCTGCCCTGTGCGCCCCGCGCGCCCTGCAGCCCTGCTGCGCCCCGCGCGCCCTGCTGCCCTGCTGCCCTGTGCGCCCCGTGCGCCCTGCAGCCCTACTACGCCCCACGCGCCCTGCTGTCCTGCTGCCCTGCGCGCCCTGCGCACCCTGCAGCCCTGTACGCCCTGCTGCCCTGCAGCCATGCACGCCCCGCGCGCCCTGCTGCCCTGCAGCCCTGTGCGCCCTGCTGCCCTGCAGCCCTGCGCGCCCTGCTGCCCTGCAGCCCTGTGCGCCCTGCTGCCCTGCAGCCCTGTGCGCCTCTGCTGCCCTGCTGCCCTGTGCGCCCCGCGCGCCCTGCTGCTGCCGCTACAGCCCTTGCTGCTGCCGCCACAGCCCTTGCTGCGGCCGCTACAGCCCTTGCTGTTGCCGCTACAGCCCTTGCTGCTGCTGCTACAGCCCTTGCTGTTGCCGCTACAGCCCTTGCTGCTGCCGCTACAGCCCTTGCTGCTGCTGCTACAGCCCTTGCTGTTGCCGCTACAGCCCATGCTGCTGCCGCTACAGCCCTTGCTGCTGCTGCTACAGTCCTTGCTGCGGCCGCTACAGCCCTTCCTGCTGTCCTGCGCGCCCCGCACTCCCTGCAGCCCTGCGCGCCACGCACGCCCTGCTGTCTTGTGCGCCCCGTGCGCCCTGCTGCCCTCTGCACGCGCATCTGCAACCCCATGCACAGCCCCTACCCCCCCCCTCCCCCTCCC